TGTAGTCGAACGGTGAGACGGACGGGTAGTTCAGTTTTGGGCACGCGTACGGTGCTGCAGGGATTATATTATGTAGTAGTACCTCTTCGGGCCCTTGTATACCTTTTTCTTGCTACGTGTGCGTGTTCCTTAGATCCTCAGATGGCTCTAGCACTTTCGTGACCACGGGCCGAGAGTCTTTGCTAGATTTTGGCATTAAGCAACTGGCATACGGTTTAATGTGAAGTCAACAACAACAACAACATGTTGTGTAATTTCATGTCGTTAAATGTGCGAAGGGCACGGGAGAACATTTTCTCATTATTGCCTCCTGATGACGTGGTCGCCGATAGAGGCGTGTGGTCGATGAGGTTTCATCACCGACATGTGGGTGTGTGTTAAGTGGACCTGGGTTTTTGCTCCCTCTTCTGGTCGGAAATATAAGATCGGTTGGGACAAAATGCGGACTATCTCGCTATCTCGATCCTATTCTAATCCCATTACAATATTTTTGCGAACCGTTTTTTTCCTTGGTTTCGCCGCGTTACGCGGGACACACAGAAGAACCGGGATCTTAGAACCGGGCTCTTTTTGACAAGTCCCGCTAAAAGGTTGGTCCTACCCCGGCAGAAGCCACTCCAAATCAACACCCCAACTTTGAACCTCCGGTCAAGAGCCTTGGCTCTCGAAAGATGTGGCGCGAGACAGAGCGACGTATGCGGCTGATGGGTCCATGACGCCGTCGACGGGCTTCGTCATGTGGAGCAACAGAGTCTTGATCGTTTCGCCCTTGGACGATAGGTAGCAGGAGGACAGGCAAAAAGAGACGAGTTGGGGAAGGACGGAGGTGTGCATGTACGCGTGGATGAAGTGCTACACAGACCTACGAACCAGCATCGAAATATCAAAACGCGTGAAGTGAGAGGTTCAGTTTCGTTGGGTGCGCCGTACCTGAGCGCGGTATACGGAAGACAGATGGCCAGGCAGTAGTGGGAGCTGGCCCCTCTTAAAAGAGTATTTCTTGTCATGGAGCCCTCTCACGTCGAAGGACCGGCTTTCGACGCCGACTGCTACTTCCCCTCGGTTCAAGGAGGGAAGGTGCAGGCCGGCGTCGTAGGCGGTTTGGATGAAGATGACGACTCTGACTGGAGGATGCACGAGGTGGACGACACGGTAGCCCTCCGGCTCGCCGTCTACGATAGCCTCTCGCGGGTCGAGGTCGATGCTGACGATGGTGGCTGAGGATGGATGCGTGCGCGCGATGTATGACAGTGGAATTGTATGACGAATGCGCGATCAGTCTGACACCAACAGAGATGAATTGGGCTCGGGTCATGGGTTAGTTGTTGTGTACGGTTAAAATACTAACCGTCCGAGTTGTTGCACACTCCGAGGGCAACGTGCTGGCCTTCAGTCTTGGTTAGGACGACGGGTAGACCGATCACGAGGCACACGAAACGCGGGAGATGAGCGGTCTTAGTTTCCTCGAGTTTTTGTACGCCGTCACGTAGTCCGGCGGGCCAGCTGGCGAGCGGGTCGTGCGTCCGTGGGAGGAACGATGCAGAGAAATGTCACGAGTGGTGGAGGAAGCGTACAGAGGAGGGGTGTGGACGTAAAGGGTATATTGTGGGGCGTTGGTGTGTGTATCGTACCTTTTTCGCTTGTCGCCTGAAGCCGGAATGAACGAACAGGTCTGTAGCAGTCGTGATGTAGCAAACGGTGCCACTTGCTCGACAGAGCGAACGCGTAGTGGGTAGAGTGAGCGCCTGAGTGACCTGTTGACAACAGGAGGAAGGTGGGAGGCATGGTTAATTTTGTTCCAACCGTGAGCAGTAGTGGATGAGACGAAACGGATGGCCGGAAGAGGAGGGGTGTCTGGGACAACATGTGACACGAGTCAGCTTACCTTGTTGCGAAAAGTTATCGTCTGGGCCATCCAACAGTGCTTCATGCTGAGCTTGGCGAGTGTCCCGTCGGGAAGGCGCGAAAAGCTGCCCAGTGTGCGAGCGTTGAATGCCTCGACGTCGGTTACTGTGGATACTCGACGAAGCACCCGATCCATGACCGGCGCGTAGGTAGCGGAAAACCTGTTGTTCGTCTCGTCGAGCACGACCGCGGCATTAGCAGCCCAGAAGTTGGAGTGGCCAATACGCTCCGTATGCGTCATCTTGTGCAGTTCGCTAGAGTCGGTGGCGCCGAACACAACAGACTTGGCGGAGACGGGTGCCAGCTGCAGGATGTACACACGACATGGACGGGAGGCGTGAGGGCAACAGCAAGAGATGAAGTGTGAAAGATTGTGATGTGTGGGAGGGTGGCAATGCGGATCGCTGGCCGCGGCACAAACGGGTTTGAAGACAACGAAACGAACATACCTGATTCAGATCCCCGAATGTGACGTATATCATCCCGGCGAACGGCAGGCTCGCAGATGACGGCCTCACCGAGACGGCTGCTTTGTGCAGGGACCCCAACTGTAGGCAGCTAACCATTGAAACCTCCTCGATCGCTAGTGCAGCAGCGTGGGTCCATCTTGCGGCTTTTGCCTCCGACAACCCCGTTTGTCCGATTGTGTTGTCCATGGCTCCGTCGTTGTTCTTGCGGGGGACGTCGGCGACGGAGTGGACGGTGTTTCCTCCGACGTTGGCGGCCGCCTTCCCTTGAAACGCCACAGTTAACAACCCGCCTGGCTGCACAACACCCTTGAGGGCTGGGCAGTCAATCAACGCGACGATAGCCCTGAGAACGTAAGACTTGCCGCTCCCAGCCCCTCCAGATACATGAAGGCGGAGAGCGTTTGGTGTTGGGACGCCGTCTCTTGCTATCCACGCCGCTCCAAAGATGAAAAAAGCAAGCCGCTGCTTACGATTCAGCCCGAACTCGTCCGCAATTCGTCTGACGGCGTCATGCTGCTGCGGTGACGATCGACCAACGTCGGTTTTTGCGACGGCCTCGTTGGTCTCCTTACGTCTTCTGTCCATTCTGTCTTTGGCGTCTTTCGACAAGCCGGCTTCGGACTTAGAACGGAGGTCGCGAAGGTAGGGGCTCAGCGCATCCGCGTTGTAGGGCTTGGTGGCTGCGACGTCTGGGGCGTCGTCCGGGACCGCCGTTGCTGCTTCGGTCTCGCGCGTTTTCAGCAGGGCATCCTGACGAGTGATGGAGGATTTCGCGGTGATTGCGTCTTGTCCTTGACGAACCTTGCTGGCGTCGGCCGCGATTTGATGGCTACTTCGGCCGCTCAACAACGCGGCTTGCGGGAGACGGTCGTTGTCAGTTCTGCTGAAACCGGCGTCAAGGCAGCGGTCGACCGCGTTGTTGACGTACGCGCTAACTCTGTGAGCGTTGCGGGCCGGTGGCATGACGTTGGGACCAGCTGGATCGGTGTCGTCGACGTCGGCGCCGAATATATCGCCGTCTATGTCAGCCCCTCCGCACGCGCCCAACGGTCGTCGTCTACGGAGAGACTGGAGGACGGAAGAAGCACGATTCTCCTCATCGGCGGCATGGCGCTGTCGGAGCATCCCCTTGATGTTGATTCTCATCGATGTCGACCTCTGGTCCCACAGACCTGATTCTTCCGTACGGCGAAGAGCTACGGCCCAAGACGCCTCATCGGGCAAGCGCAGGTCATGTATCTTGAAGAACGGCTTATACAAACACAGGAGAAGCTGGGCGTGGTTTTCCGGTTGGGTGTCTTGCTTAGGCACATCGCGCATGATGTTTATAAGAATGGGTTCTTCTCGTGTGACCTGGCGTGAAGTAAGAAACGTGCGGTGTGTAGGGTAAGAGAAGAACAATGCGGGGGCGGTGCGACGTAAAATGGGCAATGTATGTGAGGCTATGTACTTGTCACGCAACACGGAAGTATCACCTGCTGTTTGTGGACCGTCGGGAGGCCGACGAAGTCGTGCCGTTTCGCGAGTGGGCGCCCCCGCTTCCTTCTAGCCGCAGGAGGGGAAGGAGGAGGGGTGTCGCAGGTGTCATCGCTGTCTCCCGATTCTCGGTCGTTGTCGTCGTTGGGGCGACGCGCAGGCTTTTGTTTCCGAGGCGTGTTCTCTATTCGCACTAGGCGAGCCCAAACGGCGTAACACATGCCGTGGTACGGGTGTTCGGTGTCATTCGGGAGACATCGTCGAAGGTAAAGCTCGTGCAAGCTTATGGAGATTCTGATCTTGCCGCCGGAGGTGTTGAGAATGGCACCGCTGTGGTAGTCGTTGTCGTCGTCGTCGTCGTCGCCGTCGTCCTCGTCATCAGCATTCTCGTTGCTGCCCTCGGCCGGAGGCAAGGCGTCGAATGACGCTGACGCTAGGGCGAGCAGAGGCTTCATCGGGCAGGTCCGAGCGTCGGGAGCACTCTTGGCGTCGGTGTACCCAAGGACTTTGCTGGCGGCAGCTGGCGCGCCTACGGGCATGTGTGCTACCGTCTTGCACGAGCAAGCGCGGACTAACTGCGCTGCTGTGACGGCCGCCGGCGCTCCTTCAGCTTCGTCCTTAATCCGTTCGACAACTGGGGCGAGGACATTCAACAGAGCGTCCATTGTAGTCTCGGTCTTCGTGCTGTAGTTCAAGATGTAGAACAGCGCGCCCCTGGCATCACTATCGCGAAGCAGAGCCTTGATGTCCATGTTGCTGCGCGTGCAGAAAGCGATGATGAGATTGTAGGAGTTGACTTTGCGGTGCTCACGGCGATGCTTTGCAGTAAAACGCTCAGCTACCGTTGCGAAATCCAGCTTCCCGCGCGAAACGTCGTCGGATTCATCGGCAAACTTCTGGATCTCTTCTTCCTCTTTAGCCGCGGCGGCATCCGCAGCTGCAATAGCGTCTCGACTCTGAGAAGCTGAGTACAAGACGCCCCCGACTACGCTGTCGCCGTTGGGATAAATCTGACGGAAGCCGCGCTGCACGCATGTGCGACTTTCAAGCGGCTTTCCGTCCTTCCCGAAGCCAAACCTATGAAGCAGGTAGGTACGAAGAAGGAGAGCAAGCATGATGCATAAGAATCGGGAAACACCTGCACGAGTTCGCGTTACCGTGTTTGTGGCAGGCGTAGGTGCATTGGGGCACGAAAGAAGGAGAACAAGCAAGCATAAGAAACGGGAATGAAGAAGACACAGAAAAGCACGAAAACACGCCCTTAAGAAACGAACCAAATACATGCCGGAAGAAATCACACCTGCACGAGTTCGCGTGACCGTGTTTGTGGCAGGTGTAGGTGCACTGGTGCATGTTGGCTGCCTTTGTAATTTCCGCGA